TGTCTCTATGTCTCTCTCTGTCTTTCTGGCGAGCACACACGCCCTATAGCAAAAACCTCTCAAAAAAAAAAAAAAAAAAAAAAAAAAAAGAAGCAAAAATGGATAGAACTACAATAAGAAATATACAATTTCATAATTACAGTATCAATATTGACAGAAAATCAGTATTTTAAGATTTTTAAGACTTGAGCAACATTATCAACTAACTTTTGATATCCTATCCAACAACAGCAATTTTTTCCCAACTACACGCAGAACTTTTACCAGATTATATCATGTATGGGCCCTAAAGCAAGTCTCAATAAGGTTAAAGGATTCAAGTCATACAAAGCACATTCACCACCCATATTAGAGCAACTGCTTAGCAGGAAATTTACAACTCAAAAGCTTGTATTATGAAATTAAAGAGGCCTCAAATCCATGATGGACTGAAGCATCTACCTTAAGAAACTAGAAAAAGAGGAGCAAAACAAATTCAAAGCAAACAGAGGAAATAACAAAAATAGGAGCAGTGAATGAAACAGAAAACAGAAAAGCAATAGAAAAATAACAATGTAATCAAAACCTGATTCTTTAAGACTATCAATAAAATTGATAAACCTCAAACTAAGTTTATCAGGACAAAAGAGAAGACACAAATTATCAATATCAGGAAGAGGAGAGAACATCACTATAGATCCTACAGATAGTAAAAGGATAACAATAGAATATTATAAACAAGCACATGCTAAAAAATTAAAAGCTAGGTGAAATAAATTCCTTGAAAGACACAATTTACCAAAGTTCATTGAAGAAGAAAGAGTATGTCTCCACTTAACATATATTAAATGTCCTGTATTCTTATGGTGTAAACTGATGGACTCAATGGCATAGAGGCAGAGAAAGTGATATTAGATACCAGAATCTGCATGGGAAGTAGGGTAGGTGGATGGGGGCTTCAAGAGAGAATGATTAACAGACATAAGAATGCATGTAAATATGTGGAATAGGTTATGAAACAGTACAACGTAACAGAGTAAAAAATGTCTTTGACAATTCAATATATATTTAAACAAAATCAGTAGAGCTATTATCAAATGTACACACATAATGGAATGCACCATGTTGAATAATATGAATATGTCTATATCCTTGATTTGATTATTACACACTCTATGCATGCTTTGAAAAATCATACTATACCCTACAAAAATGTACAATGATGATATGTAAACCAGAAATCACAAAAAAGGGGAGCGGGGGATAAATTATACATTCAGTTAAAAACCAAAGAAAATTTCAGGCCCACATGGCTTTCATGGTGAATTGCTCTGAACATTTAAGGAATATATAATATCAATACTCTATGAACTCTTCCAGAAAACACAAGAGGAAACATTCTGTAACTCATTCTATGAGGCTAGTATTACCCTGATTCCAAAACCATACAAAGATATCACAAGAAAACTACAGGCTAATATCCATCATAGAATACAGACAACCTTAGTGCCCTGTCAGCAGGCAAATCCAGAAACATATGAAAAAAAGATAATACATCATGACCAAGTGAAATTTATACTTGGAATGCAAGGCTGATTTCACATTTAAAAATCAATGAATATAATTCACTGTATCAACAGACTAATGAAGAAAAAAAAAACTCAACTGAAAAGAAAAAAGTCTATGATAAAATCTGACATCCGTTCATTATAGAACCTTGTAGCAAAGTAGGTAATGAAGAGAATTTTCTTAACTTGATAAAAGATGTTTATAAAAAATAAGTTTCAGCTAACATTAGACTTAATCGTGAAAGAACAAATTCTTACCATTAAAAGATACATGGATAATAAAAAAAAGACACGAGATAAAAAAATGCTTAACATCATTAGACAGTAGAGAAATGCAAATTAAAACCACTCTAAGATATTACTAATGAGATAGCCAAAACAATAAAAACCTGACAGTAACAAGTGCTGGTAAGAATGTGGAGTTACTAGAACTCTCATATATTGCTGCTGGGAGTACAGAATGATACAGACACTTTGTAAAACAGTTTGGCAGTTCTTGTAAAAATAAATATACACTTACCACATATGACCAGCAATCCTACCCCTAGGCATTTACCCAGAAAAATGAAAACACATGTTCACACAAAACCCACATGCAACTGTTTTTAGTATTCTTATTTGTAACTGCTAAAAACTTGAACAATCTAAATAGCCTTCAAATGGTGAATGGACAAAACTAATCATAATATATCCATTCCATGGAACTCTGCTTAGCAATAAAAAGGAACAAACTGTTAACACATGCAACCACACAAGTGGATCTCAAATACATTAAGCTAAGTGAAAGAAGTCAGACTGAGAAGGCTATATACTGTATTATTCCATGGAAAAGGCAAGACTGAGACAAAAAATTAGATCAGGACTTACCAAGATCAGGGATAGTAAAGCAATTGTGGAATGGGCAATTATGCAGAAAAGGGGATTGGACTTGCTTCATTAATATGTTTTAAGTAGGTATTAAGTTTTAATATGCACAGATATTTAAAGCCAATGTGAGGTTTCACCACACTATTCTGGAATTAGAGAGCAGTTTCACATACTGGTGTTTGAAAGCAATACACAAGTTCCTTTCATCTAAAAAGTGATTACTTTCAGAAAGGAACTTTGAGCACCCTAAAGAATATACTAAGTCCTTCCTGACCCCAAACAATGACATACAACCAGAGCCCAGACAGAATCCAGGCCAGCCTCCTCTGGTTATTCTGCCTTTCAGAACAAATAGAGCAAGGTATTGAAACGGGGCTCCACTTCTCTACCCCGAAGTCAAATCACACCTTAGGGTAAGAGGAAAGGACAGCCTGCAGGATCCAAGATGCGAGCTGATGTTGTTTTCCGTCCAAATGACAAAGCAGCCAGCCTGGCAGCCACACCCCACCTTTTATTCTCCATGAAGGGTAGTCAGCTAGTCAGTGGTTCTCAGTCCTGAGTGCGTGTTAGAACCACCTGGGTGAGAGCTGAAAGCATTCTGATCCGATGGGCTTAGGCTAAGAAAAAAAGTCTCTTTCAAGTTCCTCATCGGATTGATTCCAGTGCACCCAGAGTTTGAAAACTGATGTTAGCCAGTATTGGGTCATCTCTACCTTTTTAAATTAGTTTATTTATTTTTATTTCCCAGAGAGTGCATGTGCTCGCCAGAGAGACAGAACGAGAGAGAGAGAAATTACTTAACGCTGGGGAATGGTCACACCTCAACCCCTTCACCTCCATTTTTCCTTCCTTGGAATTTTGGGCATCCATGTGTGCACACAAACTCATCATGTTTCTCAAGCAGTGGGGTATGGGACTCAGACCAGGCAGCTGGCCATGTAGGATCCCACTGCCTTAACCACGGTGCCATCGGCTGGCCCCTCCTCCACTCTCTATTCCCCCTTACTCTCGGTACTTTGTGCTCTTGTATCTTAGCTAACCAAAATATTTGATTACAATTTCAGAAAAAAAATTTTTTTAATTTAAAATTTAAATGAAAGAGGGAAAATTGGTGAAAATAAGAAAGAAAAAAAATTAAGATGGACAAGTGCTGATGGTAAGAAAAGCAGATGACATTACAGGGAATGGACATCAAACTCCTGCCAAGCCAATTTAGATCAGAAAAACAGCTTCATAGTCAGTAACTAAAGTGATCTTGACTATGGACAATCAAGGCGACTTCTCCTTTAATACCACCCCTGTTCTGCTTGGTAAACAGGCTTCAGAGAAAAATAAAGGAGCTTTTCAAAGGAGCAGGGATGCATTTCAATACTCAGGCCCTCTCCAAACACTGGAGCCTCACAGCGATATAATGTGTCAGTTACTCTGTATCCTAGCAACGACTCTCACAAAGGGACAGCATGGGATGCCATGCTCTCCAGAGCTTAATGTTCAAACTTAAGTCATGAAGGACCCTCATTTTGGGGAAGCATCCTCAAATATTCCATGGAAGTGTGTGTGATAGCACTGGGTCTCCTTCTAACCCTCTAAAGAAGTGAGGCAGGCAGGAGTGGGTTCCTGCTTTGAAGTTTCATCGACTTACTTGTTTTTCACCCCTGAAGCTTCCGTGTAACCATGACTCCATACCGCCGGGGCTCCTGATGCGTCTCCTGCGGAAGGCTGGTCAATCTTGAAACAGCGGATATTACTAACAAAAGAAACAGGGAAGGAACAGCAATCATTACAAGTGCAAACTGCTACCTCTATCGGAAGAATGAAAAACACCTGCTACGTGTGCTGTACTCGGTATTTCATACTGTGTTTAATGTGTCCGGAATACTTCTCAGCAGCAAGAACCATTATAATGAAAACCAAGGGAGCATATGAGGGGACTTGAAGAGTTTGTGGAAACATGGAATTAAAGTATAAAGTACAGTTTTCCGTAATGTGCATTTTCCATGAACTCTTTAAAAACCCCTCACATAGGAGCAGCATGAAAATGACCTTTTATGAGCATTATTAAGCAGCTATTACGAAAGCCTGCTAGGAAGGACTCACATACTCCACAGTAGGTGTCTGTGTTTTCCTGGGAATAAAAAGGACACCTCTCAGCCTTGGCATGATATATGAAATTAAGTATTCAGTTGTGTGTACTCTGTTTGTTTTTTTTTTAAGAGGTTTTTGCCTTAGAGGGTATGCACTCTTTTCTTCAGAGGGAAA